CAACCTCAAACTCTTGGGCTTAAGTAATTCTCTTGCCTTAGCCTCCCGAGTAGATGGGACTACAGGTGCCTGCCACAGTGCCCGGCTATCTTTCTGCTTGCAGTTGTCACTATTGTTTACCAGGCCCAGGTCAGCCTTAAACCCACCACCTTTGGTGTATACAGCTGAGCTACTCACCGAGCTACGAGTGCCAAGCCAATTTTTTTTTCCATTGAAACAAGAGTCTCATTTTGTAGCCCTCGATAGAGTGCTGTAGTGTCATAACTCATAGCGACTTCAAACTCAAGCTCAGGAGTTCGAGACCAGCCGGAGCAAGAGCGAGACCCCATCTCTACTAAAAATAGAAAAACTAGGCCATCAGAGTATCCAAAAACAAAAACTAGCTGGGTGTTGTGGCAGGTACCTGTAGTGCCAGCTATTCAGCAGGTCAAGGCAAGAGGATGGCTTGAGCTCAAGAGTTCGAGGTTGCTATGAACTATGATGTCATGGTACTTCACCCAGTCCAACAGAGTAAGACTCTGCCCCTTCTCCCAAAACGATCTTATGGCTACTTTGATGTTAAGTGACTTATCAGTACAAATTAATTTAGTGGCAGTAAAGTTAGTATATGACTCCCCCACTACTAAATTTGACTGACCAAAAAAAAAAAAAAAAGCTTAAGAAATTTTATCTTGGCTCGGCGCCTGTGGCTCAAGCGGCTAAGGCGCCAGCCACATACACCTAAGGTGGCAGGTTCGAATCCCCAGCCTGGGCCCGCCAAACAAGGATGGCTGCAACCAAAAAATGGCCGGGCGTTGTAGCGGGCGCCTGTAGTCCCAGCTGCTTGGGAGGCTGAGGCAGGAGACTCGCTTGAGCCCAGGAGTTGGAGGTTGCTGTGAGCGTGATGCCATAGCACTCTACCCAGGGGGATAGCTTGAGGCTCCGTCTCAAAAAAAAAAAAAAAAGAAATTTTATCTTTTATGATTTCTAAGAAATTCTTGGGTATTTCTTCTGACATATTCTTCCCCTCGCTTTTGTAATTTCCTCTCTGCTTCTGAGATCTCTATTTCATGGATATTGACATACAGATATATATTGACAGAGATATACAAATATTGACATTCTCCACAGCACAAACTTTCTATTATCTTATGCCTCTTATCCCTTCATAATGCCTTCCAGAATTCAAGCAACCTATGTTCCCCAAGTCTTCAGCTATATCCATTCCGCTATTCAACTCATCCTCTGAATTCTTTGTTTCCAAGTTTATATATTTATTCCTGTTTCATGTACCCATGTTCTTGTTTCCTTGATATTTATTATTCGTACTCCATCCTCTTAACACTGCCAAAAACATGAATTTTGTTCCATGTAGCAATAGCCATCAATTTGTCATCTTCCTTTCATGCTGACTACCCTGTCATCCTCTTGTTCTGGCTCCTTGTGAGCTGCTTACCAGATTAAGGCACTGCTCCTCCTCTTACTCCAACAGGCTACAGCATCAACTTTGCTACTACCGTCGATGCAAAGTCAGAACCTGAATCTCACAAGGACTACAAGGCCTGCCACCTCCTCATATCCTAGGCCTCATCCTTCTCCACACTCCTATCATGCCCCTTAGACCTAGCCACAAGAAACTTCTGCTGGTTTTTAACCAGGCATGCTTCTGCCTTAGGACTTCTATAGCTGGTGTGACCGCTCCCTTATAATGTTATTGTCCCTATTAAGTACCACAGTCATTAATGACTTTCTCACCTTCCTCATGACCATGTTCAAATGAGACCTCAGTGAAGTCTCCCCATCACAGTGTCTAAATCTGACCCTTTCCAAAAGCCCAGGACTTAATAATTCTTTCTCCCTAATTTTTTTCCATGGTATATATAAACATCAGACCCATGTTGATTTTCTTATTTATCTATTTTCTGCTCCCTGAGGATAAAGACATTGTCTGTCTTATCACAGTATTCCGAGTACCTACACCAGTGTCTGACTCTTGTAGGGTAGTGAGCATGGGGAATACACTTCAGGAATTCCACTCTGGACTCACTCTGCATTGGCCCACACCTTACCAGGAGACTCTCATCTTCAGGGAATCTCCATGAGGAGATTCCAAAAGCTTTTCTTTTCCAAAGGCTATCTCTTTTCACTGGACTCTCTTATGGCTTTGGGTATGGAAAGATAGGAAGAAGAGAAGAGAAAAAAACACAACAAAAATGGTCTACCCTGACCAAGACTGCTCTGAGCTACCAAGCCTACCTTGCAGACTTGAATTCAACCACCTTTTGTTTGCTGGGGAGAATCTCTCAGTTATTATGTTATTTTCTCTCACTTCTGTGGCATTTTCAGTTCAAAGAAGGGGTTTGCTGTCTGGGCTGGTATAAATTAGTTTCTTGTTGCTGCTGTCATAAACTACCACAAACTCAGTGACGTAAAATAACACAAATTAGGCAGCACCCATAGCACAGTGGGTAGGGCCCTGGCCACATACACCAAAGCTGGCAGGTTTGAACCCAGCCTGGGCCAGCTAAAACAACAATAACAATTGGAACAACAACAAAAAAAATAACTGGGCTCAGCACCTGTGGCTCAAGTGGCTAAGGCGCCAGCCACATACACCTAAGGTGGTGGGTTCGAATCCAGCCCAGGCCCGCCAATCAACAATGATGGCGGCAACCAAAAAAAAATAGCCTGGCATTGTGGCGGGCACCTGTGGTCCCAGCTACTTGGGAGGCAGAGACAGGAGACTCACTTGAGCCCAGGAGTTAGAGGTTGCTATGAGCTATGCCATGGCACTCTACCCAGGGGGACAGCTTGAGGCTTTGTCTCAAAAAAAAAACAAAAAACAAAAAAAAAACCACTGGGTGTTGTGGCAGGGGCCTGTTGTTCTAGCTACTTGGGAGGCTGAGGCAAGAGAATCACTTAAGCCCAAGAGTTGAAGGTTGCTGTGAGCTGTGACACCCCAGCACTCTACCCAGGGTGACAGCTTTAGACTCTGTCTCAAAAATAAATAAATAACAAAAAATAAATAAATAACACAAATTAGTATATCCCAGGTCTAGAGGTCAGAAATTTGAAACAGTTCTCTCTAAACTTAAATCAAAGTCTTGGCAGGGCTAAATACCTTTGTAGGTATTTCTATAGAAACTTTGGGGATCTCTAGAGGCTGTTCTAGAGGCTAATGGCCAGTTGAATCTTTCTCGAACTTCATCACCCTGACTGTGCTTCCATCCTCACACCTCCCTGTCTGATAATCCTGCCTCCCTCTTTAACTCACAAGGACCCTGGTGATTTACACTGGGCCTACCCGGATAATCTCACTATCTCAAGATCCTCAGTCACATCTGCAAAGTCCCTTTTGCCATGTAAATTAACATATTCATAGGTACTAGGGAACAGAATTATAGACAACAGGGGAAGGGAGGGTGTCACATTGTTTTGCCTAATACAGCTATTTGGTCATCTTTTTTTTTTTTTTTTTGAGACAGAGTCCCACTATGTCGCTCTTGGTAGAGTGCCATGGCGTCACGGCTCACAGCAACTTCAAACTCTTGGGCTTAAGTCAGCAGTTCTCAACCTGTGGATCGTGACCCCTTTGGGGGCTTAACGACCCTTTCACAGCGGTCACCTAAATACTCTCTGCATGTCAGATATTTACATTACAATTCATAACAGTAGCAAAATTACAGTTATGAAGTAGCAATGAAAATAACTTTATGGTTGGGAGTTACTACAACATGAGGAACTGTATTAAAGGGTCGCGGCATTAGGAAGGTTGAGAACCACTGGCTTAAGCAATTCTCTTGGCTCAGCGCCTGTGGCTCAAGTGGCTAAGGGGCCAGTCACATACACCTAAGGTGGCAGGTTCAAATCCAGCCCGGGCCCGCCAAATAACAATGATGGCTGCAACCAAAAAATAGCCGGGCGCCTATGGTCCCAGCTACTTGGGAGGCTGAGGCAGGAGACTTGCTTGAGCCCAGGAGTTGGAGGTTGCTGTGAGCTGTGATGCCACAGCACTCTACCCAGCGGGACAGCTTGAGGCTCTGCCTCAAAAAAAAGCAATTCTCTTCCTTCAGCCTCCCAAGTAGCTGGGACTACAGGCACCCATCACAACACCCAGCTATTTTTTGTTGCAGTTGTCATTGTTGTTTTAGCTTTAGCTGGCCTGGGCTGGGTTTGAACCTGCTAACTCGGTGTTATGTGGCTGGCGCTGTAACCACTATGCTATGGGCACTGAGCTTATTTGGTCATCACATCAGGAACCAGTGACTATAGTTTCTTAAACTGAGAGTCCATGGCTGGGTTTCAGGAGGTCTGTGAAACCCTCAAAACTATTTGCGAAAAATGCTGTATCTTCATGAGAAGAGAAGGCACATGGTTTGCATGCTTCTCAAATGAACTATGAGCCCTTCACTATATAATGGTTACAGTCCTGAGGAAAGAAGGTAGAGTCCAACACTATCTCCGTAACTACTGGAACATAGTTTTCCCAACATAACACCATAGGGAAAATTTATCACTTCTTTCTCTCCCCTTCTATGGACATGCACAATTTCACACATCACATGAAAAAGATGTACTTAAAGTCCAAACTTAACAGCTAAAGAAATCCCTCAGCAAGCTAAAGGGCAACAATGCCACTTGGTAGAGTGGGATGGAGTCCCCTCACCCATGCCTGAGCCCTCCTTTTTCCCATCAAACCTCTAACTACAGGTGGAGAAATAACAAAGTCACCTCTTGGCAGTTCAGCAATCTCAGGTCCTGGCCCATCAGATCTCTTCCTTCTCTCAATCTCAACAAGGAGAGGCTTACGACCTAGCTGAGACACCCTGAAAGGTCACCCTTAGGTGGCATGCTGCTTAAAAAAGGCCTGAATCTTTACCCAGGATTAAAAACTCCAGATATGAAACTGAATGAACTGGGTGTGCTTTTTTCATTTGATTTAGAACAATGTTTCCTAATATAGGTAATGGCCTTAGGAAAGACATGTGAGCCCAGACACAAGGGAGAAAAAATTTACTTACTTTGACTGCAGGGTCTGCCTGGGCCATGTGCCATCTTCATTTTGAGGCTCAATGACTAGCACCTGAGTGAAAGGAGAAATTAAATGAGGAGAGTTCACATTACCACACATCAAACATCCTTAGAAACAGACAGTATCTGGCCATATACCCTGGGCAGAGCTGCCTACTAAGGTATGGTCTGGGACCTCCTACCTGACCCTGGTATAACCCAGCATCCTGTACAGTGTTGTCTAGTTTGCTCAACTGCTCGTAGGTGTTGCTCATGTATTTGTTCCAGAGCCGTGTTTCACGGTCCGCAGGGATGTTAAATAGCTTCCTCATCTCCTTCTCGATGGTTGCTAAGGACAGGCAGAAACATTACTCAGGGCTTTCTCCAGATGCAAGGCTAAAGACAGCAGTAAAAAAAGAAAAAAACCCAAAAAAACAAAAAACAATGCTCACCTGTCTTCCCTTTTGGATGCCCATAGGTGCTTTGGGCTAAAAGTTCTGACTGACTTCAGTCCTTAGATAACCCCTACAGCCAATCATCTTCCCTGAGTGTCTGCCTGCACTCACATGCTCAGAAACTTTGCCTATCCTTATTCTCTGATGACATGCCTCCCATTTATAGCACAGAAGCAACATAGGAAGAAAGCTTGTCTTTGCCCTTAAGACAGGTCTGGTTTCAGAAGCTAGCTCAGGGCTATGCAGTGGCTTACAGCTGTATTCCTAGCATCCTGGGAATCTGAGGGGGGAAAACCGCTTGAGCTCAAGAGTTTAAGATTAGCCTGAGCAAGAGTGAGATGCCATTTTTACTAAAAATAGAATATTTAGAATATTTACCAGGCATGGGGGTGTCAGGTGATTTTACCCCCATATGGGGGGCGGGAGCACCTATAGTCCTAGCTACTCAAGAGGCTGAGAAAGAAGAAACAGATTTATAGAATTGTCAGATATTCTTTATTTTTAGTCCTCCATACCCTGATGTTTACTAAACAACAGATACTCTGTTGAAGTTGCAGTGAGGCATGAAAATGGCATTGCATTCAACCCAGGGCAACAGAACAAGACTCTATCACACACACACAAACACACAAAAAAGCTGGCTCTGCCAATTTCTTGCTGAGATTTCTACAATAAATTATTTTTCAACTTCTCCGAGTCTACATTATTTCATCTTCACCATAATATGACAAATGGGAAAGGACCATGGCCAATTGTTCTACAGACCATGATTCCCAGGCTTGACTCCTCATGCAAATTCTCTGTGGAATAGGCTCCCAGCTCAAGACTTGGCAACCACAGCCCGAGATGATCTAAGTAGAAAATCTGAAGGCACCCCATCTTGCCTCCCATCAATCACAATGCCCTGCACTACTCTTATCAGATAACAGGCAGCCCAACCCAACTGCTTACCAATGGTGTCTGCTTTACTAAAATGGCAACTCAGCACATTGGTGGGGTCACTGTTCTCACAGAGCTTCAATTCCAGCAAATATACCTCCACTTTGCAGTGTTTGACAAACAGGCCATGCTCCACAACCTGAGAACAAGAGACAGGGATGAAGGTGCTGTGTGTGGTTCTATATCTACTAAAGATAATCATGAGTAGAAACTTCATGATAATCAATTTCCTTCAGGGGATCAGAAGTATAGGCTAAGTCATCGGTGCCTTCTGAAGAGATTAAAAATCTTTTTTCCAGTAATTAGGAAAGTCACCTGCAAATTCCCTTTTGCTATGAGCACCTTTTTTTCATTTTTGAGACAGTCTCACTCTGTCACCCTCAGTAAAGTGCCGTCATAGATCCTCAAGCTCTTAGGTTAAAAGCAATTCTCTTGCCTCAGCCTCCTGAGTAGCTGGGACTATAGGTGCCTATCAGGCCTGGCTATTTTTAGAGACAGGGTCTTGCTCTTGCTCAAGCTGGTCTCCAACTCCTGAGCTCAGGAAATCCACCCACCTCGGCTTCCTAGAGCACTAGGATTATAAGTGTGAACCAGTGCGCCTGGCCTGACCAAGAGCATCGTATAGGAACCAGACAGAAGCCTATTTCTCACTGGTTTTAAAGCAATGCTATGGCCTTCAGGTAATCTCAAGAGGTCAGCTTTGAACAGAAAGGTCTTCTTTCAGGCTTGGCCAAAGTACACTGTAATCAACTACTCTTGTTCCTAAATGCATACCAATGGGGGAGGGGGGGTTGTTAGGGACTGAACCCTCCACTGTAGTTTGTTTATGCAGGGGGTTGTGGTTTCACCATTTATGCCTTTTGTCATGAGACTTTATCCGTCCCTCCATGATATTTTCACATGTCAGCACTCTTGGATCAGTAGTTCTTAACACTTTTCCTACTGGCAACAATGAGTTGCAGTCTCTTTCCTAGGAAAAGCTGATATTCTCATTTTTTCTAAGTGTTTTTCATACTCAAGCTAGTAAGCAGAGTATCTGTTGTTTAGTAAACATCAGGGTATGGAGGACTAAAAATAAAGAATATCTGACAATTCTATATATCTATTTATGTAAAGCAATAACTTACTTTTTTCCCCTCATGATACAGACACAAATATGGCAGAGAGGCAATATAATTTGTCAGTAACTGAGACAGAGAAAAAACTGATAGTGTCAGATTTTAAAGAAAATGATGAAAAGGTACAGCACCTGTGTTCAAAGGAGTAGGGTACCAGCCCCATATACCAGAGATGGTGGGTTCAAACCCAGTCCCGGCCAAAAACTGCAAAAAGAAAAAAAAAAA